TTTTTTTTTTATTATCACCCTGTAATATCAGAAACTCTTGATAGTGTTGAACATAATGATTTCTTTTACTTCATAAGTAAGGAGGATTAATGCGTTTCATTCGAACTTTGGTAACATGAGAACAACGTGTTTAATTAAATTCAATCGGATATATCTTAATTACCAGAATATTTAAATTATACTACATATACAAAAAATGCATTCCATCAGTTGTTGCCATTTCATGTTTTGTGAATGATAAATCATTAATATGAATCAGTTCAAAAAAATATACGTCGTAACACTCCTATCGAAATCGATAAAAAGTTAGCGTGAATCCGAAAAGGTTTTATTAATAATCAAAGCTTCCAAATGTTCTGCATTGCATAACGATTTTTAGATGGGCGTGAACAGAAAACTAATAACAAACTGTAAAATCGACTACGTTCAAGCATAATTTTAAAACGTATAAACTTACTCAAAGGGTCTTCAAGCAACTCGCTCAGTTCAGCTTCATGATCACCTTCGCAGACAGCAGGCGCTATTGCTTTAGCAGAAACATTTGCTTCTATATTAACAAAAAACATAAATTTACTTTGCTTGTTTGATATTATGTGAAGTGCACCTTTTACTGGTGGCTTCTCATCTGGGTTATTTAAGAACTCCTCAGGAGTATATGAATTAAATATCCCAGTGTATCCTTCCGCAGTGGGAGCAACTATGACGTTATCAAAAGTAACCCCTGGTAAGTTTTCCACTCCCATCTCCTTTAATTTCTCCACTTGCTGTACAAAAAAAAACGACTACTTTAAAAACCAGTTTAGGGGTTATTAATAAATTGGTGTAAATGAAATGTGCTAATAAGATCTTTTTTTTTTAAGAAACGAAACAGCCTACTTCTCGTGCTAATTCTTCCTTCCGTGCCAAGGCTTTGTAAAATCTCAATAGCTCTGCAGATGTCCGCTGAGGCATATTTTGAATTTTGCGTTGTTCGTCCGCAAAAAACTCCTGCTGGTATTTCTCCCATGATTCTTTATATGTTTCATATGGAGCAGTGGGGTCCACCTTATTTTTTATGAACCATTTCTTCTTCAAAACGTAGGCACACCTAAAAGAATTGAATGAAAATGATCCCATATCGTGCTGACAGTTTTTCACAATTTCCATACCTTAGTTTTGCTACAATAAAGTGTTCGTCGGGCAATAAACATCGATCATTCTCAAAAAACATGAGTCTAACATGATTACACGAAATAAGCTTTTTTTCTCTCGTATTGTACTCTTCTGGGTCGGTCCAATCGTAAATAATGGCGCTTGAGTTTGGAGTAGGAAAGTGTTTAAATCGAAATCGTAATCTGTAGTAATGTGCCACAAACGTGGAATAATAGCAGCGCCTTTTTTCTTCTTCATCTAAAACAAATACAGCTCATGCACAAACAGAAAAGTTTTGCGAAAAAAAATAAAACTGTACCAATGTCATTAATTGCTCTCCACTCATCAATAGCCTCAAAGTCAAAATCGAATGGAGTTTCTGGCTCTTCTTCGCAGGCCGGATCATCTTCAGGAAATGGAAAGGTAACATTGTCAAACAATTCGTCAACGCATTCCTGCTCAATATCAAAGAGAGCAAGCCCGTTTACTGGAGCTGCCTCTTCTTCAGGTCTGGCTAAAACGATCTTCTTTCTCTTGCCTCGGTTAAGCCTTTCTTCCAGTTTAGCAATTTCCTTGTTTCTAGCTTCTCGTTTGTCGCTAATTTATAATAGAAAACCATATATGTATATAGTGAAGAGAATCACATGTTCTTGATCTAAAAGCCCGGTTGTATTAGCTTGATGATCTTAAGGTGTCACTTTCGTTTAATTTTAGATTAGCGGCAAATAGGTCAATTATTATTTAATTACATTAACAGGTATATTAAATTATAGGTGAATGAAAATTTATAACTGGCTACTCTTCCATCCTTGATTACTACTGTGAACAATAAGATAAAATAATATACATTATTTGGCAAATTTTAATTGATTAAATGTGCTGCAGTTAAAACTGCAATAAGTAACTTGTCTGGTTCTGAAATGAATGCAATATTTCTGCTCCTTTAATATGGTCCATCAACCATCAATTATTTTTTAAATAATTTCAACAGCTAAATTTATTTAGTTTAAGTAAGAAGTTTCTAGAATTCGAAACGTGAATTGAAACATTACTGCGAAACAAAACTAAGACGAATAAAAAAATACACATAATAATATCTCACAAGTTTAGTGCCATAAATAAAACATTCGTTCTGTCAATACCAATTGCGCTCAAAGATACAAGAATATATTTTTATTTTGAGTACATAAATAATCAGTTGAATTAATTCTTTAATACGTCTAAAAACATTGAAGTACTTGCGAAGTCTTTTGCTTACTGGTTACTAACAAGGCTTAATATGGGCGCAAAATATGTAAAATTTAGCGGGAAAGATTCCCCTAAGGTTTATTTGAAATTAATTGACTTCGCTAGATTGGTGCTTGGTAATAGACTTTAAAAATTGCAGTGCATTCAATCCAAAAACGTTTTTAAAAGATGCAGGATTCTTAATGCTTAGCCCTTAGTCACTCACACATGTTAAATACTTCAAATAGAAGCAGTTGGCCGAAAAATTTGCCAGAATTAAGCAAAACAGAATCATGATATTTTCTGTGTAGAATCCGAAGTAGAGTCGTTATGTGACATATTTTTTCAACTCCCTTCTGCTTCATCAAATTTTTCATTTGGGAAATGAATGAAATATTTACAAAATTTGTAAAACTTGTTTATGTTGTTTTGTGTGCTTGTTGTTATTGTACCTGTCGGTGCAGTATTTCGCTGTACTTCCATCATATGAAACCATGCGTGTGTGAAACTGAAGAAGTTCATCCCAAAGCTTATCCACTCTTTTCGCATACAACTGGCCACAACTTTGCAGGAGAAGAGCATCTTCGGCAAAACTCATGTGAAAAATGCCGTGCTCCAAGTAAGTAGATTGATCGTTGTTTAGCTGAGAAAACTGGTCCAGTACCTGACATATAAATATTTATTTATACTGTGTTAAAATTTGAAATTTGTAAGTATAAAAAGTTTAAAATTTATTGGAACAATCAATGATCTCGGTCCTTAAACGGGAATAAACGCTGAACATTTAGAGGAAGAAAGCGAAATTGGAAAAAAAGCGGTAAACAAGCAAATAAAACTTTCAGTAAAACTTAAAGTAACGGAGCTGCAGGGCCTTAAATTTTTGAACATTCGCAAAACTGCCTTATAAACTTGAGACATTAATTTTCTATGTAGAATGAAAAAAAAATAAAATTTTGCAACGCGGTTGAGCTGAATTTAGCAATTCAGATTGTCAGGTTCCTCTGCATGTATAATACATGTATAATTATTCAATACATTTCGTATCTTATCTGGCGGCTTATTTACGGCGGCAGGTTACAAATGTCGGGTTTGCAGATATGTTTTATTTTTATCCGCGTTATTCCGCCCAAACAAAATTTGTGATGGAAATAGCACCAATGTTTCAAGTGCTAAACTTAATATATTTTTTCAATTGGAAATTATGTATAATCAGAGAATATATTTTGTATTTTATTTACCTACTTACACAATTTAATCCGGTACAAAGTTATCTTAAATTGGACTTTCATATTATTTTTATTGTTTCATATCAGAGACTCTCAAAACTGTAAAACAGATTCTTGTTGCAAAACTAAATGCATCAATGGCCCTGTTCTATTTTTATGGTAAACATGCATCTTTTTCGTCAAAGTTTTATTCCCCCAAGTTACAATTTACTATCCCATCGAGAGAACTTACACAATTGTTTTTAATTTCATTAGTAAATTTAAAATTGACAAATATTACCGTAATGTGAAAATTATTAAATAAACTTTCAATTTTATCTTCTGATTAGCACATTATACAGTAATGTGTATTTCTTTGTACAGATCTAATAGATATAAATCACAATCAAATCCTTCAAACTAGCTAGGTATTTGTCTTTTTTAGAAGCCCTGATGATAACGATCGCAACCAGTCTCATGTCACAGCAATTCAGTAACTAGTTAATGTTAATATACTATTTAAATAGTGGATATATATGTACTTAAGTACATTCAGCAACACTGAAATACAGGGTGATTCAAAATTGGCGTCATTCCTCTGTAGGTGTTGTCTGGCGCTGTTATAGGAGTACGGAAAAAACAGTAAAATAAATTAATTGTTATTAAAAACTGAGAAATTTGCAAAAAA